ATGATAGATCTCTAACCCTATCTAATTCTTATAAAGTTATACAAAGAACTAAAGACACAATCCTAACAGATTGCTCATAGAAGTGACTACGGTATGTAAAGACCACACGTGTTTAAGTATTTAGCACCCAGGTTGCGTGACCATGGTTGTCTATTTAGATCAAGCCGATCTATCACCATGGTTTGCATGGACTATTGATACTCGCAGAGACAATTCAATATCGTTTGATGACTATCTTTTCACCTGTGATGTGTACGTACTTGTGTATAGGCATTTGTTGGCTACAATGTCTGTCCAAATTACCAAAGTTTAGGGGTGTTTGTCCGATAACTCGGACAAAGCGTGGGATCAAATTTCATACTGTCAGGGACTATTGTCAATAACTGGCAACGTTGGGGGACTAACATTGTCATATGAGATTTGTAAGATATATAATTGCAAAGCCCTTCAATTAATATAGTAGGACTTTTTTGAAGAGACCAATGCATCTACCACCCAACTATCATTTCCCTCTATTAGCAACGCACACCCACCTTTTTTTGCTTTGCTTTTCTTTCCTTTGTTCCTCGTTTCTTCATTCCTTAGATGTATTGATCTGACATTACCCTCTTTGGCTGTGATATTCTGAGGGAAATGTTTTCTTAAAGAGAATAAAAAGGAGGAAGAGGAGTGCAAAATCTTTTTTCTATGGATGGTATAGCCTAAGGATTTATTATTTTTTTGGTAAGGTTGATTGCAAATCTAGGGTAGATACGCTGTTTCTTCTGTTTTGTGGGGTAGTGGCAATTTGAGTGCACTTGAGTGCGAGCGTTAAATGCGCGTCAGAGGGCCCTATGGCCACAGAAATGAAACAAAATATCTCGTTCCAGTTTTTAAACAAAGTTGAAACATATGCGGGGGAAATTACAGTTTTCTGATAAATGTCACTAAACCCTAAGATACCGTTTGGCAAATAGTTAAGTAAGGGGTTAAAAAACTTAACCCCTTCTTAACCCGTCAAACACAAAAAATCTATACAATGATTAAAGTTAGTTAACGTTCCATAATTTGTCAAACATAAAAAATATAGAAGGGTTAAGCTAACCCCTCTAGAGGGATTAAAATGGGTTAACCTCTCAAAATGAGGGGTTTACTAATACTCCTATTTAGAATGATTAAGAGTTAACCCTTCTAATTATAAAGAAAATAGTCAAAATCATTGTTATTCCCAAATACTAAAACTAATCACAAGGGCTAAAATAAAACTTATTTAACGGGTTAATAATTTAGTCCTTCAGATTATCGAATAGGCTAAGTACATTAATTCTTCTCTTTAACCCCTCTTCCTTAACCCTCTGCCAAACGGGACCTAATTGAGTAATTTTACAAATCCTAACATGAATCCTATATAAAAATACCTTAGTTAGGCTGCTATGTTTATAGATGAAAAGTTAGGGTTATCATTAAAGAGATAAAACTATACTAGAGATAGAATTTTGATTGAATTATAGGAAATAGGACTAGGGTTTTGTGTCCCTTCCTCCTCCTCCTATTTATCCTTAGTGTGTTAGCCAAACTATCTTTTAGATCTCTTTTTTAGATAAAATTGTCTTTTAAATTATTAATTAAAATTATTATTGATTACATATTCTGGAATTATGAGTTGTGGAATAATTATAGGGGCAATCCTGGATCCTGGAGTCTACATGCAGTAATACTAGAGTCTGTGTATGGTAGTCCTGATATTACTAATTTAATTATGTGGATGATCCTGGAGTCTAATGATAGGTTAACACTGTTTATTTCTTTTATTACACTTCTTATCGGATATTGACTAGGGGAGGGTTGGAATTAGGATTATAGCATAATTTACTGACTAAAGTAACATAGTAATAATACTAAAAAACCTAACCTTAGCTATAATCTTAAACCTAACACTATCTTCGACCCAAACTAACCCTAACCTAAAGCTAAATTCCGCACTAGATTAGATTGTCTTGGACAATTTAGGATTGACTTGTTTAATTAATATTTTACACGTGTTATATGTCATGTTTAGTAATGTATTCAGGTTTAACTCTATAAATACATGTCTTCCATGTCTAGAATTGACATCTAAACCAAAAGAAAGTTAAAGAAAATTACATGTTGCAAAAGAGTTATAGAGAAGAAACAAAGACATAAATCTAGAATTTAAAAGGATCAGTAGGTGAGGTAATAGAGTTTCTTGCGGGTTTTTTAAGGAACACAAGAAATATTAAGTCTTTGTAATCTCTAAAAATATAAATGATTCAAATCTTTCTTCATGGGCTTAGACGATGGCCGAATCGTATAAATCTTTTGCCTTTGTATTTGTTTAACTTTGTTATGTATTCATGTAATTAGTTTCCTATTGTTTTTAGTCTTTTTCTTCTCTTTGCTTCCCAATCATCAAGGTTATTGATTGTCCTAGTTAGAAGGAGAAAATCTAGTTGGGTAGATTCATATAAAGCTTTCGTGTGCCTATTGTTATAGCCTGCTAATAACAAAGAGTTAATCTTTCTTGAGGAGTCAACACATGTCCCGTTCCACACCAGATCAGACATGATCAGAGCCCAAACGACTCGACCCGCTCCTGCGACGGACTCCATAGGCTGATATCTTACATGACTGACTCGAGAGGTGATACTTACCAACTTACCTATCAAATCGAGCACACAAGCCTTCACACTCGGCCCACTATCTCAACCGACAATTCTCGTGGCCGAGTAAAGAGGCGGTATTAGTCGAACCTCCACCAAAGGACTGAAGAAGCGACACTTATCACCCTTCTCGCAACGACCCATGTCTTCTTGCCAGGCTGAGTAGTCCCTTCTCGTCAGACTGAGTCGTCCCTTCTCGTCAGACCGAGTGTGACACCCCCACTTTAGTCCTACATGGACTAGTGTAAAGAAATGTTTGTGATTTAAATAGAGAAAAGTCTAAGCCCCAAGAACAACTAGTGCTAGCATTTTGGAAAAGTGAATTTAGTCAACCCACGAGTTGCTCTCTGTGGACCCACGACTTTCACGCGCCAACGAGCCCATGGGCCCTGGGTGTGACACCGAGTCAAAAGACGGTCTTCCTCGAGACCCTCGCCAACAGCCAGTCACCATCATATTAAATGCATGGTAAAAAATTATCATTGCTCTAGCCCTAAAAGTCTTTATGAGTCATTAGGCTCTGTCAGCACCAAGCTGCTGCTGTCGCTTTGCACTAACCACCTGGTTGACCCATGTCACCCACAGCTAATACTTGTTAGCTATTTGCTAAGTTAACTATCTGCCTGGCCTCGGTCACAGTTATATATTTACCATTCTCAGCTGGGTATATATAAGGGCTCATTGCCTACTAGCTAGGGGAACAGGAGGGGGACCGGAGGCCCCCAGGAGGGCCACATGTATGCACCTTCTGCATACTTAGAACTATTTTTAGTTTATTAGTATCGTCTCCACTCAAGCTCAAATACTGACTTAACCATCAGAGGAACCTCGGGAGAACCCAACTCCGGTCCTCTAACGAGTGTTATTATGCAACTCTCTTATACAGACAGGGGACCAGACTTCAAGAGAGATGAGGGAAGTCACATCACTCATATCGACCTTAAGCCCCTTGCTAATCTCGCTATTGTGCCTCAGAACATCAACACCTATTATTTTACAATAATTGGTATTAGAGGCCGTTGTTTCGCCGACAAAAGATCTAATGAGATTTATCCTTTGTTTTTATGTGTTGGGAGCCCCTTTATTTTTTAACTTTAATTCTCTTATCACATCTTATTATTTATATAAATTTACTTCATATTGTTAATTAAGTTAGTTTTCATCTATTCATTTGACATGTGGGGCCATTTGGTTGGATGCAAATGGGACTAAAAAAGTAAATACTATAATCAGATTTATTTTCAACATATTTAATTTGCTAAATTGTACTTAAAAAATATAAATGCATTTACAGTATGTAGAAGTAATAGCAAGAAATATTGCACAAGTTTGATGGGAGCAAAAGCTGCGTCTTTTTGAAATATCAATTAAAAATGCTAACTCATCAAATGATAACTATTAATTCAAACCTAAATCATGCTGTTTTTACATCACTTATTATCAACAGAGTAGTGCTACATGGACCCAAAAACAAGGGACCCTACATGGGACAGGTGAGGTGTCGGCTCCATGTCCCATGATGCACTGTTCATGAACAGTGCATCATGGGACAGAGAGCCGACACCTCACATGTCTTATGTAGGGTCCCATGTTTTTGGGACCCTAATGCATTTTTCTTATCAAAAACACTAGAGTTGCAATGTAAATACAATTTTCGTAATAATTAATTGCAAATAATCCAAACAACAAACTTGAAGTTGATTTCCGTGCATCAAACGATGCATACAACATTCTTTTCAATCCATTTTTGTAGCACCAAATATTAGCTTCTTCTTCATCACTCTAAAATATATTTTACATTTTTACTACAATTGCGCTTCAGAAAAACAGAATTCTGAATCCTATCCATAGGAGCAAAGGACATGCAAGTGATTTGAGCAAATGAGGAGGCTAACAAAGTCAGAAACAGATGGACTGGTCACTGGTGCCCAATAGATTGGAGTAACTAGCGTGACGACATCTGTGACAGTGTTAAGGTTGCAGAAATTAAAACCAAATAAAAAATCATCAGAAACCTAAATGAATAGGTAAAAAATAGGATGTCCTCTCAATTCAAGCGGTAAAAAAACTTACACTGACGGTTCGATTGATCCTTTGACAGCCAAACCCCCTGTACGCCACTCGACACGTATCCTGCCATCTTTCCCTTTCCCCGCTTTATTTCGATGTAACAGCTACTCCACAGTAAAAAACTTACAACGTTAAAAATCCCTCAAATTACGGTGTGGGCCCCCACTACTTTATTTATTCCGGAATAATTCGTAGGGCAGGAGGGGGTAGGGTAGGGCGTAGGTTTTGGGCTAAGTCATAAGATGGGGGGGGCATGCCCTCCTCTTCCCAATTTTAGTAGAGGGAGGAATTATCAGAACAAGGTAGAAATAAAGCTCATTGTTTCCTTCCCCCCTTTTTTTACAGCCCCAGATGAGTGGAAAAAAGGCATAAATAGGGGGGAAAAAAATTACTGTTGGCGGCCATCATTCCCTCTCTACCTCTGCCCCCATTTATTATAGTTTGCTGAGTACCGTTTTTGTTTCACGAGAAGAGAAAGTAGGAGGAAGAATGGGAAGAGGGAGAGTTGAGTTGAAGAGGATAGAGAACAAGATCAACAGGCAAGTGACCTTCTCCAAGAGGAGGAATGGGTTGTTGAAGAAAGCCTACGAGCTGTCAGTGCTTTGCGATGCTGAGGTGGCGCTTATTATCTTTTCGAGCCGTGGCAAGCTCTATGAATTCGGAAGCGCTGGGTAACAATTTCTTCCAACTCTTTGTATATACATATTTTTATATGTATATATAGTTATTTAGGGTTTGTAGTGGTGCTTTTCTTTCCCTTTTTGATCGATGTTTTAAAATTCATATTTCGTTTTTGTGTTTAATTGTGTGTTCGGCAACAAAAAAAAAGACCTAACACCAACTTCTTAGGCGAGACAATCTCTTGTGAGTAGGGTGGTTCTTAAGGAAAAGCAAGATTTGTTGTTTCTGTTCCTATGTCTGAAACCTTGGTTTCTGTTCCATTAATAATTTATAAGCTGTTTAATGCACGTTTAGTCTTTTTCTTAATTTTTTTTTCTTTGTTTTACTGATTATTTTATCAAGAACTGTAGCTGATCTTCTGTTTTATGAGACGAAAGCGACTTTAATTAGATTTTGCGCACTCCATCTTCTTCCAAATCTAGGGCAAAACTGGGTGAGTCTCTTTTATGTGTGGGTGGTGAAGAAATGGGTTTCGTAAAAACTATCTTTAGCAAGTTAAACAATAGATACCACGAAGGAAAAAGCTCTCTTCTTAATTTGCTCTTGTGTGCTGTAAAAGGAATTTTTGACTCCTTGATGTTTTGGTGATTTAATGAGATTATGACAAGTATAAGTTTTCTAAAATAAATTCTGAAGCTTAAAGAAGTTCTATAATAGGAAAGAGAGAATTTTTATTTGTAATCAACTTTGAAGGTTAGATTTCCATTCCGAAAGGAGGGTTTCTTAACAATTACAAAGTTTTTCTGGAGATTAACAATTGCAAATTAATGACAATTATTTTGGAGTTTAGGGTTATCTCTGAATTCTATCTAGTAAAATAAAATTGGATGCTTTGCATCATGTCACATGGTTTGAGAGATTATGCACTCTTATGGTATCAACAGTGGTATGGAAACTGAATTATTTTAGGAAAATGCAATTATTTTTTCCCCTTAAATTTAGGACGTCGATAAGTTTCTAAAGGGATTAATATTGAAAAGAACTTCGTTAATTTCATGGCAAAGGAAATTAGACTTCAGATAGAAGATGCATAGCGCATCTAACTTTTCTTCCGAAAATGTCTAAAAATAGAAGTTATGCAGGTTAAAAAATAAAACATAGAGTTAAGTTTTTGGCTTAGCTTGAAATATACGCTAGTGCAGTAAGGAGATTAGTAATTTTTTTTGCAAAAGACCCCTGTAAAAAGAATTTCTAATGCATAAATAACAGTTTTTTGGCTATATATTTCTTACTGTTCTATCTTATACAACATGACTAGTAGTACTTATACTAAAAATATTAATCCATATATCAATATCACTAGGAATAAAATGCTATCAAAGCAACTTGACTAGGAGGAATACAGAAAAAAAAAAGTTCATGCATGACTTGTACTTTGCATTATGAAAGTACCAGAAGAGTTAAAACTCTAAGTTGCATGGGTACAGGTACAAATGCTAGTACAGGATGCGGCTAAGGGTACAATACACGGTGAATTTGTAAAAAATAGAGTATGGGGACACGGCTATAAATATGTATATTATGTATATTTATATCTATTAAAATTAACAATTTATATAAGATCAATATTATTTTTCATTTACATAAAATCAATATATTAGAAATATGTGTGAAGTGTAGAATATATATCCATGAAGTATATGAGGAGTTTTTTAAATTAAAACATGTGGTATATAACTGAGTATAAGCTTGAACAAATGTGTGCATATATTCAAGAAGTATCCAAGAAGTTTGGGTACGAGAACAGGTAAAAAAATAGAAGTATCTATATAACATACTTAAACTTATAGTCAACAATTTTATACCTAATCCATCTAAGTTTTAATAACTATTTTGGGCTATATACAAGGTCCTAGAACCTAAGTAAGAAATATTGAAATTATATTTCTCCTTTTGCCATGATTATGTCCCTTTTGAGAATCAAAGTTTTTTAATGATTTGGAGGGGAAAACTATGTATTTCAATAAATAATCAGAGTGATGCTTGAAAGCTAAAGAACGTTTGGATTTCCTCGGAATGTAGTTTAGAAAGGGCGAGGGGAAAAAACATATAAGAAAGTACAAAGAACACATTGTAAAGACGAAGTTAATTTCGACGTATTAGAAGCTAACGTTATAACAAAACACATATGCAAAAACAGACTTGTTGTCTCCATCAAGTTAAGCTTCGTAATACGAACAACCATGCAGACGTATAATTGTATATTTAAATTAGACTGGGAAAAGAATGATGAAAACAGTCACTCGTAACATCTTTTGACTTACAGTAGTGAATTTAAATAATGTTCAATATTTTATACTATTCTAATGAGTAATCTAAAAATTCAGAAAACATCACGTTCCTAAATAACAATCTCTATAAGTCAACTTTTTTGCTCAAGATAGCACAACAGTCCATGAGCTTGGTGCATACTGGAAATGTTCACATTTTTTGAACAAAATGTCCAATGTAATTCTGAAGGATTTCTTGAAAGTTATAATAGAGCACATGGCTTGCGAGAATAATTGCGGCTATTTTACTTATGCATTATAGTTTCACTAGTTAAATACATCTATGTAAAACTGGAAAACATGTCATCTACTATCAAAAGGCATTTACATTTAAATTAATTTTCTATTGTTGTACTTTAGAACCTCGTATAGAATGATTGAAATCAGAATCTTCTATTAATGATAAATATATGCTGGTTTTGCTATTAGCGGAGAGAAAAGTATTTAAGTAGGAGGGAGTTTGACACTTAGAATTATGAAAGTTTGATGAACCCCATTACAATATTAGGTATAATCCTCATGCTTGAAGCCAAAGCACGCTAAGTGATTTCCAATGGTGAAAATGATAAAAGAAAACATGCATAGAAAAGATTGAAAGAAACAGTCTTTTGTTTTAACTAAAAGAAAATTATTAACCATCTAAAATAGCTCCCTATAAAAGCCTTGCCCATGTAGAATTTCTTTATTTGGCATAGTTCTTTACAGATACCCAAAGTTGGATTTTCTATTTGTACTGCTACCTCAAACTTAAAAATTTATTTTGCATTGTGCTGTCTAGGTGTTGCTCGATTAAAATTAATATGAGAATATTCTCTAGCATTGATATTATTATTTTTTTATACAATTTTCCTTCTGCCAGACAAGATTTTGTACGAATTTTTAGGTTGTTTAACCTAAATTCCATTTATAATTATGCTATTACTACACCTAATCATGAATTTATGCTTAGAAATTCACCTATATTTAGACGACTGTCTAGTTCTACAAGATGACCTCATGTATGAAATCAGCAAACACCGTTTGTTAATAAATGAGAAAGGCTGGTTCCATTATATCCTACTTTGGCTTACATTTCCAACATAGTACTCTCAATCAGCTTTCTTCTTGTAGATATTTATGTCCCTAGCTAGTAGCTCATAATAGTGCAGATGCATCCTAATTAGTACATTTCCAATAAAATTAGCATTGTTAAAAATTTTGTGAAAGGCTACCAGCAATGCATATTGAAACACCGTTGTACTGGTATAATGACATAGTTTGGGAAATAATCAACGAATGAATAAGTAGTACGTTGTGTTTTTATTTATAAAGGTAAGGTTTGCTACAAAATAGGTAGAATACAATAGAAAGGTACTAATTTGTAAGTAGAAAAAGGAAACACAATCATGAAATGTTTTTCCAAAAGGGGAGAATCATCATAAAATGTAAAATTCTATATGTACATTTTACATTATAATTTTTTGGTAAATTTGGGATTTAGTTTATTTATCCAAACATGAGTTTAAACATCAATTATTTGTTGTCTCTTTCAATGTTCAATGGAAAAGATATTGCTCTATTTTCCTATTACGTATCTGTTTTCGAATTGCAGTAGTCTGTAATATTGAAATTTAGTTGAGGCATACAAATGGTTCAATTATGGTTTAAAATGTAAATGCTTGGTAAAGTGATGTAAAGTCAACATAATTAGACCAAATAGTATCCACTAATTCTATGGCGCTTATGCAAGATCCTTGTACTCGTTCTCTAAAACTGATAAATAAATGAAAATTTTTTCATTACTACTAACAAGAAGTAGGATAGTACACTTTTTTTTTGGTCAATGAAAAACTTTTATTCATTTCCCAAATGTGAACTTTACATGCTTCAAGATTCTCAGGTTTTGAGAATTCAAACAGGGAACAAAAACAGAAATATCAAAATCTGTACAATTTTAAACAGGACTGATCCAATCAGTTAGATTCCCAGCAATGTTTGGAGAGTTAATGCATATAGTTAGAATGTCAACTTTGATTCTCTTAACCAAGCTCTCCTCAGACTTGAACAATTGCTGAAACATCCTCATATTTCGCTCATACCATATGTGATATATAGTAGCTGATAAAGCTGCTCTCTTGACAGAAATATCAAAATCTGTACAATTTTAAACAGGACTGATCCAATCAGTTAGATTCCCAGCAATGTTTGAAGAGTTAATGCATATAGTTAGAATGTCAACTTTGATTCTCTTAACCAAGCTCTCCTCAGACTTGAACACCTGCTGAAACATCCTCATATTTCGCTCATACCATATGTGATATATAGTAGCTGATAAAGCTGCTCTCTTGATATTCTGCTTTATACCTTTCTTCCTTAAATTTGTACAATACCAATTAATGATGGAATTCCAAGAACATGATCTCCATTTGAAAAGAAGCCAATCCATGATTTGATTCCATACCTCTTTGGAGAAGGAGCATTCAAAAAATAGATGATCTCGACTCTCTAAGCATGGACCAGTGCAGAGTTTACATTTGTTTGCATTCACAATTCCCTACCTTAATAGTCTATCTTGGGTTTGTAATCTGTTATTAACAGCTAACCAACAGATAAATGAGTGCTTTGGATAGGATAAACCTCCCCAGACCATGTTATGCCATGGGACTGAATTTGATGCAGGGGAGAGAGTACTATATATTTCAGCAATTTTGATTTTAGAGCTGTTAGAACTGGCCTTGATC